CCCCTTTGCTGTTTAACATCTACTTGAAACCGCTGGGAGAGGTCGTCAGGAGGTGTGGGCTGCGGAATCATCAGTACGCTGATGATACCCAGTTCTACCTCTCATTCTCTACCAATCCAGGTGAGGCAGTGGCTGTGCTGAACCGGTGCCTGGCTGAGGTAATGGGCTGGATGAGGGCCAATAAACTGAAACTCAATCCAGACAAGACATTGGTCTTGTTGGTGGATGGTTCGAGCTCCTGGGTAGGTGACTTGGACCTTGTCCTGAATGGGGTTGCACTCCCTCTGAAGGACAGGGTCCGCAGCTTGGGAGTGCTCCTCAACCCAGAGCTGTCCCTGGAAGCTCAGGTGACTGCGGTGGCGAGAGCGCTTTACTGCAGCTTCAGTTAATCCATCAGCTGCATCCCTACCTGGAGGACGACTGCCTAGCGACAGTGACACATGCATTGGTTACTTCCCGGTTGGATTTCTGTAATGTGCTCTATGTGGGGCTGCCCTTGAAGACAGTCCAGATACTTCAGATGGTGCAAAATAGAGCAGCCAGGTTGCTGACGGGGACTGGGCATTATTCTCATAAAACCCCAGTCCTCTACCAGCTTCACTGGCTTCCTATCGAAGTCTGGGCTCAATTCAAGGTGCTGGTTATTACCTATAAAGCCCTTAACGGCTTGGGATCTGGATATCTAAAGGAATGCCTTCTTCCGTATTTGCCCTCCCACCCCGAGATCGGCAGCAGAGGCCCTCCTCCAGGAACCCTCCGTGAAAGATCTTAGGAGGCAAAATATCCGGAGGAGGGCTTTTGCTGTGGTGGTGCCCTGTCTATGGAATGCGCTCCCCGGAGAGGTCCGCCTGGCGCCGTCATTGTTTTTCGGCGCCAGGTTAAGACTTTTTATTCCAACAATATTTTAATAACTTTTAATATTGGCTTATATATGTTTTAATCTGCAGCCAGGGTAGATCTGAAATTCATTTGTATTATGTTTTATATTATTCTTATTTATGTAAGCCGTCCTGAGGCCTTTGCGAAAGGATGGCATATAAATATTCTAAATAAATAAATAACTAAATAAATCTTTATTGTTAGTCTTGATGTGATTAGCAAAATGCCTTTTTGTTTCTTTTATCATCTCCTTGCATCTTCCTTGCGCAAGCTTGTGCTCCCTTTTATTTTCCTCAGTTGGGCAGGATTTCCATTTTTAGCAGTTTCCTTGACACTGCTCATTAACTGTACTTTTGGACTTGGTGCTAACTTGTGGTATGCCTGCTATCTAAATTTCTATTATTGTGGCTTCACATAATCTCCAAGCATTCTGAAGGAATTTAAGCCATCTGTCTCCCTCTTTCAACTTCCTTTTTTACCAGTTCCCACATTTTAGAGAAATTTCCCCTTTTGTAGTCAACTGGGCCTACGCTGGACTTCTTGGGCAATCTTCTGCTCAAATGTACATTAAAGCTGATAACACTGTGGTCACTGTTTCTAGCTGATTCAACAGCTTTTATATCTCATGCTAGGTCCCGGGAAACCCCTTCTGGATTAAATCCAGGATTGCCTCCCCTCCCAGCAGTTCCGTGACCAACTGTCCTAGGGCACAGTCATTTAGGGCACTGAGATATTTAACCTCTTTGTCATGTTTGGAATATGCATTTATCCATTCAATGTGAAACTAATTGAAACCACCCATTTTTACAATACTTCATCATTTTGCAGCCTTCCTGGTTTCATTTACATCAACCTGATTATGTTTTACATGTATGAAATTGACCTGGAAAGGCTCAGGCAACTGAAATAGGACATGGCACTGTTTGACACCAGCATGCAAATGTTCCGCAGAGAGGTGCCTTTTTAATACTAACAGAGCAGTGCGTCCAACCCACAAACTATAATCCACAACCCACAAACCATCTTATTGTAAAAATCTCAGCCTTCCATAGCAAAATAAGACATCACCATTGCTCTCCAAAGCAGGAGAAGGCTATCCTCTTCCACCCAGTGTCGCCCTGGTGTTTTGGACTACAACTCCCAGCATTCCTGACCATTCACCATGTTGGCTGGAACTGATGAGAGCTGAAGCCTAACCAATGTGAAGGGCACTGGAGTGTGGATAGATGCTGTAAGGCAGGCTTCCTCAACCTGGTACTCTCCAGATGGTTTGGACTTCAACTTCCATCAGCCTGAAACAGAATGTTAAATGGTAAGGAATGCTGGGTGTTGTAGTCAAAAACATCTTGAGGTTGGGGAAGACTGGTCTAAGCAAAGACCATGCAAAGGTATGGATATCAAATTCCCAATTAAAAAAAACAAAACTCAAAGAATCACTTCCTTGCTATTCTTATGCCTATCAGAGTAACTAAATTAACACTGTGAGATTATTAATAAAGAAAATGCATATGGATGTTTTTCTTTTTTTGGTTCCAGGCCTTTAGGGGACACTACAGTCACATATTCCATTTTTCTCCGCGCATGTTTGGACAACTAAAATACTACATTACAAAAATTACTTTGATTTTTAGCAATATGAATATAGAAGTCACAGTTGCATCATTGTATACTGTGGTAATTTTAAGGTTAAATTGCCTTTATAATAATACGTTTTCTGATAAAATGTTGGCCACTCCATTGGCCCAGCAAGACACTGAATGAAAAAATGATACACGTCTTTCTCCTCCAATTGAATCAATCTAGTGGGAAAGCTTGGTCTGCCAACTACTAGTCACCTCTCATTTCCTAAAGGGCAACATTCTGGCCCTGTGCCAGTAGATGCTTCTATAGATGCAGCACTTGCAGAAAAATTAACACTAACAGTAGAAAATCAACCAATCACTCTTTTTGTGGGACTCAACTATAAGAAGCCATTCAACCAGTTAATCTGGGTGGTTCAGGACCAAATTAGATGTTGCCCAGTAGGCATGAGTGGCAATCCCATGATGTATGTTTAAAAAAAAAAACAAAACTCGATAATGGCACAAAAGCCTAACAATTTGATTTAAAAAATAGCAGAGAGCGGGCCAACTTACCCTTTTACTTCCTGGGGAACTCCCCTAATGGCTTTCCTACCTGCAGGAGGAAAGATACAGGCATCTGTATCTTTTTTTTCCAGTGGCTGAAAAGAAGCTAGGGGATTTTGAACAGAAAAACAGCAAGAGTGGAAATTGGGTTAAGCAGCTCTGTGCCCACCGTATGCCCTATCATATCTGCAGCCTCCAACAGCTGTTTTCCTTTTTAAAAAAGTGGTCAGGATAATAAGGCCTTATAAGCATTACTTTTTAAAACTGAAAAGGGGTAAGCTGAAGATTTGTGCAATGTGTTATCTTTGCTTGGGTTCGTATTCTAAATAAAGAATGAGAAGTGATTCAAAGCCTTTGAATCACTCTTATTTTTTTATTCATGGACATGTGTATTCCTGTAGATGTGTACTGTCTTTTACTCCTGAGACATATACTCTTCAGCGAAACACATAAAGTGGCTTGATTTGTTTTGTTTGCATGAATATACAAGGAGTTGAGCTATGCCAGAAGGTGACAGGTACTCATACTAGGAGTAACAAGAAAGGATGCTAGCAACTTAGTAAGAGCACGTGAGAAGTAGTGGACACTGGAAGTAGATGTGGAAGGACAATCACTGTTCCAAGCAGCTGAGAGAGTCCAACAGTGCTAATCTGTGCAGTCTCTCTCTCTCTCTCTCTCTCTCTCTCTCTCTCTGTGTGTGTGTGTGTGTGTGTGTGTGTGTGTTTTACATTTGTATCCCACCAACCCCAGGAGGTTGGGCTTAGATCAGTTTTTTGCCTACTGAGAAAGCTTTTTGACAGAATGGGGATATGGATCCAGGTCTCCCTTATCAGTTACCCTACAGTAAATTTGAAGTTATAAATGAAAAGCTTCTGATGCTACACTGCTAATAAGCATTGAAAATTTTCTTTATCCCCTGCCATTTGCTAAACAGATCTCAAACACCCTCAAAACTAGCAACTGGCAGAGGACAGTTCCACCCTTTGCCAGGAAAGCTGCTGGGTAAGTAAGATGCAACCTTGGGCTGTATCACTACACCTGGTGTGTAAAGAAGGGGTCCCCGAGCCCATGAGCTTGACAAGTTGCCAATTCAGCACATTCTGAAGGACATTTCCAGCCCCTGCACGGCTGCATGGTGCCCATGGCTGAGCCACAGTGCAAATGAACTGATTCAGCCCTCCTTCATCTTACATGCTTGGCATACTTGTCTTCTTAATTTATTCCTGACCCCCAAACCCCAGACAGCCTGACCTTCTCTTCTTTGTTATCCTTTCTTGTAAAATTCTTTTTATGAGGAGGGCAGTCCTTCAATACTTCAAGGGGGTTGAGAGTTAACTTATTTTCATTGGGAGCAGGGGAAGAGAAAAAACAGCTATAACGAAAAGGTCGGTTGGTTTTGGCTTGCCTGAAATTAATGTTGTTTGGATAGGTCTATTTTTACAACTGATTGCATTGTTGCTTTGTGGCTGGAAGGAAAAAAGTTTTCTATCTCCTTCTCCTCCCGCCCTCAAGCCTCGCTCTAGTGGAGTCCTGCGTTCTTGCTTTCCAACATCAAAAAACACAAACACAAGAGTTATTTGTTAAGCAAGGCGCTGCTATCGAGAGCTACTTCTTTGTGTTTGGGGCTGGTGCGGTGATTGCCTTCCAGCTTTTGGAGGCGAGGTGGGGTATGGTTTTAACTTAATCATATTCACATGACAAACCCTAAATACAGAAAAAGGGGGGGGGCGAGTCATGAAAAACCCCCAAACCAAAACAAAAAAAGGACCTCGCAGAAGTGGGAGAGCTGCAGCTTGTCCTCAGGGGCGCGCGCGCACACTCGCACAGAGAGAGAGAGAGAGAGAGAGAGAGAGAGAGGCTGTCAGACTTAGGGGAGGGCGCAGCTTTTCTCAGACGTGCAGCTTTAACCCCATCTGAGACGCCGGTCCAGTGAGGAGGCAAAAAGCTGCCGATCGCTTGCAACAAAGGCTTGGGACTTCCCTCCTGGCGTCACTCAGGAGCCGAGGCGTGTTCGATCCTCCGCAGGAAACCGGTTTTCCTCTCGCGTGCTTTTTTGAATCTGTTTTGCGGCGACCGCAAAGCCCCGTTCGCCGAGGAGCCCCATGCGCTGCGCGGAGCGGCAGCCCCGGAGGCAGGATGCGGGCTCCGCGCGCCCGGCGAGGCGCTAGCCAGGTGCTGTCGCCCGACCGCCGCCTCCGCCGCCGCGCCTTCCTCGCCCTGCCGCTCGCCCTCCTGTTGCTGCCCGTGCCCGGGCGCGGGCTGGAAGTGCAGCACAAGTTCACCTCGCTCACCGCCACCAACAACTTCGCCCTGGATGGCTCGGGCGGCAAGGTGTACCTGGCCGCCGTCAACCGGCTCTACCAGCTCTCGGGCCCCAACCTGACGCTGGAGGTGGAGGAGCAGGTGGGCCCCACGGAGGACAACCCGCTGTGCCACGCGCCGCAGCTGCCCCAGGCGTCGTGCGAGCACGCCAAGAGGCCGACCGACAACTACAACAAACTGCTGCAGCCGGACCCGGAGCAGGGCATCCTGGTGGTCTGCGGCTCGGTCTACCAGGGCTTCTGCCAGCTGCGCAGCATGGACAACATCTCCGTCGTGGCCGTCGCCTTCCCGCCCGGGGCAGGCAGCGGCGCGGACGAAGGCGCCGACCAGGTCACGGTCTTCCCCAGCATGCTCAACGTGGCGGCCAACCACGCCAACGCCTCCACCGTCGGCTTGGTGCTCAAGCAGGCAGGGCAGGACACGCGCCTGCTGGTGGCCGCCACCTACACGGGCTTGGGCAGCCCCTTCTTCCCGCGCAACGCCAGCCTGGAGGACCACCGCTTCGAGAACACGCCCGAGATCGCCATCCGGGCGCTGAACGCGCGCGGCGACCTGGCGCGGCTCTTCACCTTCGACATCAACCCGTCCGACGACAACATCTTCAAGATCAAGCAGGGCGCCAAGGACCGCCACAAGCTCAGCTTCGTCCGCGCCTTCCTGCACCGCGGAGCCCGCCCGGAGGAGCGCCCGCGGCAGCGGGGCGCCCCCCCGGCGCGGGGCGGCCGCCCGGCGGGCTCGCCCCCCTTCCTGCCGCAGCTCGCCCCCGCCGCCCGCCCGCCGGGCTCCTACGCCTACCTGGCGCTCAACAGCGAGGCCAACGCGCGCGAAAAGGAGAGCCACGCGCACAGCCTGCTGGCCCGCATCTGCCTGGCCGACGCGGCCGAGGCGCCCGCGCTGAACGGCAGCGGCGCCGGGGCCGGCGGCGGCGGCGGCGCCGAGACCAAGAAGCTGACCGAGTCGTACATCCAGATGGGCCTGCAGTGCGGCGGCCCCGGCGAGCTCTTCAACCGGCTCGTGTCGGTGTTTCCCGCCAGCGCCGCCCTGCAGGTGCGCGCGGGGAGCGCCTCCGCGGCCCGGCCCGAGGAGCTGCTCTTCGGGGTTTTCGAGCGAGCCGCCGCGCCCGGGACGGGGCTGGGCGGCCGCCAGGCGCCCCAGCCCTCGGCGCTGTGCGTCTTCCGCTTCGCGGAGATCGAGGAGGCCATCCGGGCGGCCAGGAACTCGTGCTTCGTGGCCCCGGACGCGGGGCTCGTCGCCGTGCTCGACAGCGTGGTGCAGGGCACCGGGCCTGCCTGCGAGAAGAGGAACATCCAGGTAAGGTGGACGCGCGGGCGGAGAGGATCCCGTGCACGTTGGAAGGGACCAGCGGGCGGGGGCTCATCTCTTCCGTAGCCCAACATGATGCACGTTCTCGCGCAGGCTCATGGCTGACACTTGTGGTGCCCTGTCAAAAGAAAGTTTGCCCGCATATGCAGAGAATCCTTCCTCCTTCACCTGGCCAGGATGACCATCCTCTACCAGATCTAGGATTAGAACCATCAGATGGTTTGGCCTCCAACTCCCACTCCTGCTACCGCACACAGCCAGTGGGGAGCAATCATGGAAGTTGTAGGCCAAAACCTCTGGAAGCCCATGCATTGCACTAGACTAAGGTTTCAGGGCAAGCCTGTGGCTTAGTGCATGGTAATCTGGAAGGAAAGCACTGGTTCTTCCACTATGAGGAGGTTTGGGGTAGATGTGAGAACTCTGAAGCACAAGTGAAGTTACGCGGGGGAGTCCTCTCTGAGAAGGCAAGAGCTAGAAAAGGTAGCCAAAACTGTAAGGAAAGGACCACTGGAGAGGCATTATAAAAGTGAATGTGTGGTGTGGAGAAAGTCAGTAGACCCCTGCTCACTCTCTTACGCACTAAAGCGTAGGGTCACTGAATGAAATGGTTTGTACCTAGACTGCAAAAATTAAGGGCTTGCTCACCTGTAGCCAATGTTCCTTGGCTGCTCTGCTTCATTAATGTATGAAGTTTGCTGCTCCTTAGTGTAACGATGGCTACTGGCTTTGATGGGCTTGACACAGGAATGTGTGTTTCGCACTGAGGCCAAAGGCCTCTTGATACCAGCTGTCAGGTGTGGGTAGTAAGCAGGAGGAGATAACTACTGTTGTCTTCAGGCTCTACTTGTGTTCTTCCAGAAAGCATCTGTCTGGCTACCATTGGAAGGGGTTCCTGGGCGACCTTTGGCCCATTCAGCAGGATTCTTTTGTTTTAAGAAGTCTGTTCTACTCTCATCTTGTGTATCGGGAAACAGTTGTGGAATTGATATCACCTCTGTCGCCAAATACTTTGTGTTAATAATCCCTGAGCATTTGTACAGCAAGACAGAGAGCAAGGTATGGGTAGTCATCCATTGTATGAATGAGATGTATGAATGAGATGGTGCAGAGAGAAAGCCTGCTGATTGAACAGCCTGTGGAGGCAGTTTTGTAATCAAGGCTAGCTTGGAGCGCATTGTTTTGGTAGAATATGCTATGTGCCCCTTGTTTGGATGTGCCATACTCTATTTTGTTCTTTCCACAGTGCTGATTCTGCAAAGCTTGTCTAAGTAAATCTGCCATGCCAGTCTGTGCATGCACTTAATGCAGAACTTTTAAACTATGAGTTAAGTTCTAAAAATTTGTGATGTTGGGGTAGAATAGTCAAAGCAGCATCTAATTTAAACATGGCACAGTCATATGAGGCTGTTTTGTAGTCTAGAAAGCTGTTTCTCCAGCATTCTTTGTTTTGTCCTCTTTTTTATTACAAACAGAGTTTTACTTATCTGCTGTCAGCATCATTGATATGTGTAGACTAAATCAATACATTGGACCCAGATATCATTGAGCTCTGACAGGTTGATTTAGAGCCTATTATTTTTGATTTCTTAATTTGATTGCACATGCCAAATCAATTTCAAAACTTCCACAATTACATATAAAGATTTCTTTTCTCCTCTTAGTTACATTTATATCCCACCTGAGGAGCTTAAAATGGCATCCATACTTCCCCTCCCAATTTTATCCTCACAATGTCCCTGTGAGGTATATTAAACTGAATTTGAAGCTGGGTCTCCCAATGACCCATCACTCTGGCGTTTTGTAGCAGTTCTAGTAAGAATATAAGTTTTTCTCAAAGGTGGTAGTTGCTGGAGCATACACTCTTATGGCAATTTAAATTTCATGGTATAGATGTGTAGTTTGCAATGTCACCAAACAAAAGTCCTGTTGAAATATTTTCCACAAGAATTGTAGCTAGGAGGCTAATGTGATAGGCCTCAGGTGCCCATGGTCTCTTCTCTTGTTCTGTGGATAGAAGCAAAAATGATTTGATGGATGCTACATTTATTTCAACATAGAATCTCACTGTAACAAATCAATTAAAAAGTAGATGTTATCCCCTAAGGCCAGGAACATCTCACATGCAAATATGCATCGGATCACTGAGTTTGGTCAATTCTCCCCACAGTGAGGGTGGAAGGAGCACAGTTCAAGGCATAAGAATTTAAGAGCAGCGATGCTGACTCAGATTGAGGGTTCATTCGGTCCAGCATTCTGTTCACACAGGGCCAACCAGCTGCCTGTGGGAAACCCACAGGTGGAAAATGGTGCAGTGGCACCTTCCCAATCATAATTCTCAACCAGTGTGCCAGGCATACTGCCTCTGATATTGGAGCCATCAGGAGTAGTTTAGCAAATTCCTCCATGAATTTGTCTAATACCATTTTAAAGCCATCCAGATTGGCAGCCATCATAACATCTTGTGGAAATGAATTCCAAGGCTTATCTTTCCTGAATTTCCCACAACTTCATGGGATGACCCCAGGTTCCAGGATTATGAGAGAAGAGAAATGTCTGCATATCCACTTTCTTCTCTGTGATATCTCTCCTTACTTTTTCAAACTAAATTGTCCCAGACAACCAGCTCGTTTGTGAGACACAACTGCCCATTATGGCTTAATTGAGTTCGTGGGCTGTTGCGTTGTGGGCATCCAGCTTACCATCACTTGTCATGTTATGCTAACCTGGATGGCATGGATTGTTGGGAATAAGCAACAAGGCATGTTGGGAATGGGCAGCAACCAAATAACAATCTTCAAGTGCCCATTTCAACAGGCAATTCTGCCCATGACATGAAAAGCTATGATAGTAAAGGTAATTAAACAAATTGCACCAACATGAACAGCAGGGAAAATAAACTACAGTGGGAGGCTTATTTTTCTCACCATGAACTCAATCAGTGACTGGGTCCACATGACATGATAAGCTATGGTGCCTAATAAACCAGGGGTAGTTTGTCATAGTTTAACTACTCAGGCTGTATTTGGACATTACAATAAGCCACCTCTGGCTTATAAGCTACTGTGGCTTGTTATGTCATGTGAACCAATTCAGTGGCTATATTTGTATGATTGCCAGTGAAGAGAAGCCACAAAGGATTCTTCTCCCTGCTCTTGTGCAAGCCAGTCATACATGCTGTGTGGTTAGTCAAACTGTTTTGCAGCACGTGGCTTTCCATGTTGTGAGATGCACAGTGAATGTTGCTTCCAAACCGTCCCAGAACCATGGCTTATTGTAGGGTTCTGGAATGGTTTGGAAGTCATTCCTTGCTTGTTGGATGACATGGCATCCCATGTATTGCAAGGGTTATTGGGCAAATCATATGGCATGCAGCCTGGTCATGCACCATGATTTTTTCCCAGTGATCATGGAAATGTGGGAAAAATAACCTTTCCTACTATGGGAGTTGCTCCAGCCCCTTCATCTTTTTAGTTGCCTTGTTCCACACTTTTTCTCCAGTTTGCAGTATGTAAGCCCCATAATCTTTTCCAGGTACAATCTGGGGAGCAGGAAAATATACACAGAGGGACTCAATTTTTATTGTTTTCCCTCTGTTTTTCATGCCCAGCAACATTAAATTAGGTTTCCTAATGAATGTCTGCTTTCCTTAAGACCACTTTACATGTTACAGATTGAGCTGCTAAACATTATGTGTATTCATTGCAGCTAAAAATGTTTAAGGTGAATGCATGTGTCCAGTTCAATTCATCTGCTTCAGAAGAACATGCTACAGAGAGCCATAACATACTCTGGGTTTTCTGTGTGTACACAGTAAAATAAAGTTGTATGTCTGCTTTGTATGTTATGGGCACACTATAGGTACATGCTACATGTGTTTTGTAAACTTGCAACACATGCAGTGTGTCTTAGGAAAATGATGAGCCCAGTAGTCATCTTTCCCTGCAAAGTTTCTGTTCATGCATCATCATCCACCAAGCCTGGCTTTGTTGTGAAAGTCAGTTGGATTTTTTTGCAGCTTACAGTGAAGCCAAATGTACAGTGGCTTTGTGCAAACACATACACAAAGAATGTGACCCCCCACCCCGTTTATAAAGACGTGCTTTTCTTCCCATGTTCTCTGTCCCAAGTGAACTAGTGTGACTCATGCCTTTGTTTCCTCCTCCCCTGCCCACTTTTTGGTTATTTCTTATTGCACAGACACTGAGGGAAGGCAGAATGTGCGTTCCATTACAGTTGTTCCTTCCCACATCCCCTGGCCTGCATATTCCTGCAATGGAACAGCACTGGATGTGTAAAGTTCAGAGAGAAGAGACACAAGCTGCCTTGTTTTACTGCTTTGAGGGTGAAAGTTTGCTACTGTCATGATTTGTTACCAAGTTGACATGCATGTTAATGATAGCTGAATGCACTTATTTCCTCCCTTTTAAAACACTAAAATCACAGTACACTTTGGTCTTATTTTCTTATTCTCTGGGAAAGATGCACAATATATTTCTACCAGAGTTCATAAAATGTATGTTTGATTTTACAAACAAGATAGATCATGAAAGTTTGGTCTTTCCTCTCCCTCTCCCTTCCACTGGCAATATTAGATAGATTTTTCACTTTTTTCCCCCTGCATTGCACATGGCAGCTGTGATGCTCTGGTAAAGTTTGTGACCCTATTGCAATAATTCATAGATACGCTTTTTTAAAAAGCATGGATTAGCCACCAGAGCTGAGTGTTTCAGTTAATTCCTTAAGTGTAAATATACTAAATACAGCACTAATATGAATTACATATCTATATACTTAATTAGTTATAGTAAGTAAAAATCTGATTTTTTACTGTGGCTGCACTGTCAACTTCTTTAGAATCAGTACTTATGTTCTTTGTAGGGTGATGCTCAGATTTGAATTTTGAGATTTGACTAAAGAGAAGACAGTTTTACTTAAAAGTTCTGTTGTGTTCCTAAGCTGATTTCTAATTATGGGAACCATGACAACTA